AAAGCCAAGATTTTGAACCACTGGGGCTGATTTAGCTATATTAAAAATTTTCAAACATAAATATATTTTTTATACACAATAAAATCTTGAGATTTTCTCAACTATTTAGTGTTCGTGCACGAACCACAAATTCTTGATTCTTATCAATTCTCAACATTTATATAGAATTAATAAGACTTAAAATTTTTATTCAGTACTCAATACTTAACTGAATCAACGAGTTTTAATCATTTGCAGACGTGCTTATAAATCACTATTCGCATATTTATTTGGTAATAGATGAGTAAATTAAGTGCAATTCATACGGATTTAAAATCAATTGGACGAATCAATGTTTTTGCCAATCCAGTGATTCTTTTCTAGTCATCTTTTTCACCAAATGCTACATTATTACATGAATGAAACATATTTTGTTAATAAAAAAAGAATTAGATGCTAATCGGGATTAAAAAATAAATAGGAATTGGTACTCAACTACTTTGCATTTGAATCAATAAATTAATTGCTATTCTCACTTATTTAGTTGGTAATGGATAAATAAATTAAATGCAAATCAGATACATATAAAATTAATTGAACGGGTCATATTTTCTCAATCCTACTATTCTCCTTTTGTCAACATTCAATGCTCAATATACTTGAATAAAATTTAGATAATAAAAAATAATGAGATATTGATTGAAGACTCCGTTGCAAGGAGAATTGGAGGATAAACGTCAAACACCCTATTGGAAGATATTGTTTCATAGTTTTTTAGTCTTTATAAGTTTTTTATTTATAAAATCTTTATGTTCTAATTAATTGCATTTATTTATTGAATAGTCAAATAAATTTACGTTTGGAAAATGTCGCCTTTTCATATTAATGGATAATTTAAATCACACTCGACACCAAATCAACAACCACAAAGTTCAACCAAATCCAAACCCAATCCTCCCGCGCCGACTGCTTCTACGGGTTGCCCACAAAAGGCTAGGTGGAGAGGTAGCTTCAATAGTTAAGCCTTTGTGGCTTAGAGAAAGGGAGAGGAGGAAGCATAGCCAAGCACAAAGCAAACAATCGGAAGCACAAAACCAAAAGGAGGGACACTGATTTTTCTCTCTTTTCTCACGGCTACCACACTTTTCACACACTCCACAAATAATAATGAGCAGCATATATAAGCCAAAGATGTGGGCTTTAGGTTAAGGTAATAGTAGAGGCCCAATAGGTAGGATAATAAGTGGGCTACAACTGAAAAGCCCTCCAAGGTAATGGGTCGAGCCATGAACATCACTAATTAAATTATGTTATTTCAAATGACCCAAATTGGTTGTAGGATCGGTTTTGAACAATTGTGGTGTCAATATTTCACTTCACTCATCGGTCGAAGCCTATGAAGTATAATTCCAAAAAACTGTTTAATATCATCGCCCGAATTTATTGGGTATCAATACACAACAAATCTTCACCCTGATTTCCAACAATCTGCAAGCAACCTAAACACACAATTTATACTTGCATAATAAAGTAACCAATAAAATTGATATCGCAGACCTTACCTCATGTTTCGAACCCGAAACACATACCATACCTGCTCCATGTACTCACCAGAGCTAAAATCAAGAACATCCAGGTAGAAGCAGATAATCACAACAATCAATCAAGAGCAAATAAAAATGCGATTGAGATATCATATATAGGATAATACATAGATCTTTTCAAACATGTTCACACAGAATAACAAATTAATACCAAGTTAATCAATATGCCAACACATATACAACAAATGCATAAATGACCCCACAAAGAAGATCTCGCCACACTTATCATATCCCATTCCGTGTTACTCACACTTTGAGAACCACATATCTCACATCATTGTTCATCATGCTCACTAGACTAATCACTCAAAACATTTCTAACTGGTAAGCCTCTATAGATCCTAAGTTCTCGAAATAATACTCTATCACCACATCACTTCTCCCAACTTACGTGAATAATGGGTCTCCATCTAACAGAAGTGATAAAAATGTCTCTCTTACACTTCCCCTGATCAGGGTTTCTTCAGAGATAAATGACTCTAACATTTGATCACATATCCACTCGTGATCCAAATGTCACACTTCACATCCCTGATACAAACCACCAATATACCCTTAGGCATCTATACTCCACCTTACCAAAAGACATACACACACACACTGTTAATGCATCCCAAACCCACTATGCATGCAAACAATTACACAAAGTAATAAGATCACTTCAATTCATGCCAATGCACATATCAAACACATTGAAATGCAGCATATAATCATGTAACGGAATTGAGTAATCACATACATGCAGAAATGATGACACACGGATGCAAATGCAGTAACTAGGTTTACACTCAATAAGCCTCACTAGGGTCATCAATCGACCCTAATGCCAAATTTGTCTCGCCTCTCAACTTACCATTATGCTTATCCTTATTCTTCTTAAGACAGTCCCTAATAAAGTGTCCAGTCTTACTACAACTATAACACCGTTTACCACTAGAATTGTCCCATCTCTTGCCCTTCTTCCTACCGCCCTCATCACTTGAGTCATTACTCGAATCGCTACTATTTTGAGCTCCACCCAAATTCATTTGCTTAAATTTCATTCTACTCTTCATCATATGCAACTCACTATTTCTCTTATCTTCTTTTTCAACCTCAATCTCCATCTCCTTACTCCTAAGGAAATCTATGACAATCTCGGGTGTTAAAGTGTCCCTACCATGCTTAATTTCATTCTTAACCTCTCTATATGAATCATGCATAGAATTCAGCAAAATGATGGCCTTATAAGTTTCAGACACCTTCTTATCACAGTTAACGATGTCTT